AAAAAAGCAACCCAATAAACACTTTAATTGTCAAAACCACATCAACAATAGAAATAAACAAACTATTTCAAACTTTAAATAACCACATATTAAACCAGTCTCCTCTACATAACCACTTACTTCAGCTAATAAAAAATATTCTTTTATACTACTTCAAAATCCGTATTCATCATTACAATAAAAATCAATCACAACCTCAGCAAAGAATTCGTTCAGCGCTTACAAAGATTATACATTTTAAACACCAATAAAATTTTTCAAAAATTATGCATTCATTAAATAAATTAAATTAAATAATATCTACACTTTCCTTACTTTAATACATTATTATAATATTATATAGTATATTATACATTTATAATTTGTACTTTGAAAGCTGTAAACTTTCATTATCAGTAGAGTTGTAAACATTGACCTATTATGCCGGCAGTACACATTCGCCGAGACAGTCTCGGCGAAACTCTCGACAAGAATTTAGGTTAGGCGAGGAAGCGCGAGTGCACGCAGTACATTCTCGCCTCTCGGCTTCGGGATTCGGCCTCGGCGGCTCGGCTACAGCGACTACAGTCACTCTCATTTTTGTGTTCAGTACTCAAGTTTTTACTTTTGAACGAAAATGGACGCTGTTGAGGTTGCTGCAGCTACAGCGTATTGCGCATTTGCCTATTATAATTACGTTGACACATTTTGCAAAAAAAAAATTAAGAAGCCATGGAAAAAAAGAAGATGGTGGATGAAAAATATCCATCGAAATAGAACGACGTAAGTATCGGAAAATATTTTAATATTTTAATAAGTATAAGTATTCTAGTTTTATTTAAATATAATAATAATATGTGTGTGAAGTTGCCCCCCCCCCCCAGCTCAAAAAATCTTCTCACGGTAAAAATAATAGTTTTCAAATTCTGAAAACTGGTTTTCAAATGTTTTCAACTTATTTTCAAAAAAATGTCGTAGGTTTGGAGAAAATTGGAAAATGTGGAGGGGGGCAACTTCACACGCATGGTATTAATAATATTTATCATATCAATTATTATTTAATAATAATTATTAAGTAGCAACTTTATAGTTTTAAAAATTATGTTAAGTATTTTGAATGTGTTTGTTGCAGACAAACCATTGAAAATCAGTTTTTGGAATTAAATTGTGAACCTTCTGGGGAATTCGAAAATTTAACGCGCCTTAATCGTATAGATTTTCAATACTTATTAAGTAAAGTGTCTCCAATTATTTCTAAAAAAGACACACATTGGAGATTGGCGATACCTGCTAAATTACGCCTAGCAATTACTCTAAGATATTTGGCCACTGGCGATAGTTTTAAAAGTCTCCATTTTTTATTCAAAGTGTCGAGTGAAATCATATCAAAAATTGTACCTGAAGTCTGTACGGCCCTAGTGGAAGTTTTAAAAGATCAAGTTAAGGTAAAAAACAAATTGTTTGCTTATAATAATAATTATAACTTCAAATATTTCTTTATTTGAAATCAAAAAATTAACGACTTTTCTCTTAAATAAGTAGTATAAATGTTAAACAAAAACAATTAACAACTTTTCTCAAAAGGTATAGTATAAATATCAAACAAAAAAAAATAACAATTTTTCTCATAAGGTATTATAAATAATAAACAAAAAAAAATTAACTTTTCTCATAAGGCAGTATAAATAATAAACAAAATGTAATGTTCAACTTTTATTGTTCAGTAGCTTACTGGTTATTTTCATCAATCATTGAAAAAGCTCTATTAACAATGTTGTCTTCAAAATTTGTTGAATAAGTCGGATGTGTCGAATGAGCATATGATGAAAAAGTAGATGAAGGTCTGCTTTGATATGAAGAGTCCGTAAATGTTGTAAATGGTGAATGAGTAGAGTATGCGTTACGTAGTTTGTTGAAGTACAAACTTTCGACCTCATGCATAAATTCCTCTCGTTCATGTTCTGGCAGTTTTCTTATTCTTTTCACCATCATTTTACCAAAGAGATCATATTCATCATCTTCTTTTTCACTATTTCTTTTGGTAATAACATTTCTTAACAAGCTAAATGCTTCTTTCATTTGGTTACCTGCTTCTTGAAGCTCAGGAGGGGCACCGCAACGTCGAATCGTTGGCGTTGGTCGTGAAGGTGTTATGTGTGGTTGCTCAGGAACTACTGTACTCGCATTCTCTGTTATATTCTCAGGTACCACACTTTGATTTTCTTCGACGTGTACAGCGCTTATTTCCTCACTTTGGCTTTGTTCGTCAGTTACAAAAGACTAAACAAAACAAAAAAAAATTTATATTTATATTTTTGAAAATATAAATGATTTATAGACAAATTTAAATTATTAAAATATAAATTAAAATAATAATAATAATATAATAATATAATATAATATAATAAAATATAAATTTAAATGATTCATAGATTTTCCTTGTAGAAAAATAACATCAAGTAGCTCTAGCTCTACGTTTTATTTTTACAGATGCCGTCTACACAAGACGAATGGCTAGTTGTAGAAAAAGGATTCAGTAAAAACTTTCCGCACGCCATCGGAGCAATGGATGGAAAGCACATTGTCATACAATGCCCATCTCATACAGGATCGGAGTATTATAATTACAAAAAAACTTTCAGTATTGTCCTTTTAGCCTTTTTAAATATCATTTACACCGGCTCCTGATCTGATCGATGCTTTTTTTTTACGCAAATGGCCCCTAAATGTAGCCATGAGCGAGTCTTTTTTTTTCTTTAATTCGGTTACTGGACATTCCAGTTGTCTGCTTAATCGAACCCATGCATCGTTGATTTGTTTCCTGTCTTTGTGGTACAAATGCATCGGGTCCCATATAACGGGTTCATTTTGATATAACTCCAAAAACTTCAACGTAAATTCGTTGGACCAGTCACACATGACGAAAAGCACAACAATAAATAATAAATAAAAAAGCGACGAATATGCGAGAACACACGAGTATGAACTAGGTGCTCTTGGGCTCGCGACTCGAATGGCCTCGTGTCCTTTGACTCGGGCACAAATACCGCTTTCCGACCGAGCGCCGTCGAGGCGAGCCGAGGCTAGGCAAAGTGACACGAGCGCGTCTAGTTCACTCTCGCGCTCGGCTGCTCTCGCGAAGTCTCGGCGAATGTGTACTGCCGGCATTATAATAGGTCAATGGTTGTAAATATTAAACAATTTATGAAGATCAACAAGTTGTATTTTTTCATGGAACAAAAGAAATAACTTTTTCCTTTCTTCCAAATAGGAGTACTAGCTCTATCTCATTCTATGCCCAAGATTGTTACACACGAAAGTTAGGAAACGCTCAGTCCATTTATAATAGGTCATTGTATCCGGACATTTCGGCGTGGCCATTTCGATGTGGCCATCTCGGCGTAGCCGGTTCGGCGTGGGTCTATTTCGGCGTAGTCCTTTTTTCATTTAATTATTTTTTCATTTTTTCATTTAATCGAGCTTAGATAATAAAATGTTAGCATTGCTTATATTGTACCTATAATGATATATAATATTATATATATCATTTATCAGTTTTTATCTGACTTTCATCGGTTAGATGCAGGTATGCTGTATAAACTGTATATAATAATAATAATAATATATATATATTATGGGATTACACTGTCGCATCACATAATCTATATTATCGTCTAAGTGAATAAAGATATGCAGTCCAATGGCCCAGCTGCCGCGGACTTAATTTAATAAAAAAAAAAAATAATAAAGATATGTTTAGGTATAGTTAACCTATACGCTATATCGATAGACGATCATTGAGTAATATAAGATAGTCAAGTAGTCAGTAGTTAGTAGTCACCATGTCACAAGCAATTGAAACTTTCCGTGGACGTGAAATATTTGTACATGATGGGTATATGTATATTTTTGATGCATTTAGTGCAAATAAATTAAAAAAGTTTTGGCGATGTCGTTACAAAGATTCGTGTAAAGCTAGAATTCATACAACAGTTGAAACTTTGGAGGTAATTCAATTTTTTACTATCTTAACTATCAAGTAAGTATTAAATACATTAATTATTATTTTAATTATTAGGTCTTAAAACAAATAAATGAACATTCGACCCATGACTCGGAAGCGGCTAAGATTGAAGCTAATGCCTTGTTTACACGTGACGAGTACTCGGCCGTGTCACTCGTTATGTTACTCGGTCTAGTACCGGAATTGACCGAGTGAAGCGTTTACACGCATTGTATTTGCTCGACCGAGCATTTACCCCCACTACCAAGATTTTACTGTACTCGGCGTGTCTAAACCGCTAACCGGGTGCAACGTAGTAGTTGTGAATTCGTACATTTGTTCTCAACACATTGTTGTCAACACCTGTTATCAATCCAATTACCTATCTGTCTAATTTGTTAAATTGTTTTACTGTTTATTACTTACTTTTTAACGCATTTAACAAAATGTCAACAAAGTGGGATTGTAAAACCACTATCAAATTTATTGAAGAGTACAAATCGTATGATTGTTTGTGGAATTTTAAATCTTCATCTTACAAAAATAAACATATGCGTGAATCGGCTTATAGAAGTATCGTTACAGCAATGGCAATAGAAGGATTTGGTGTTCCAGAAGTAAAAACAAAAATAAAAAATATTCGTTCCACATATGCTCAGGAAATTAAAAAAATAAAGGAATCTAAGAAATCCGGGAGTGGAGTTGATACGTGTTATGTGTCAAATATACAGTGGCTAAAAGAACTTGAACCAATCTACAAGGATGCAGATTCAAGAACAAGTTTTGACAATGTGAGTAATATATTTATTTTTAAATCAATTTTTACAAAATTAAATTGAGATGTAGACAAAATTTTTAATATTATTAATTATTGTATTTAAAGTACACAATATCAAACGGCTATACACCTTAGTAGATCATTCTATCTTGCCATGGAACTGCACCTTCATGAGTGAAGTAATGTTTGTATCTTTCCCCCAATTCTCTAGCTTGTCTAGCTGAATGATTCGATCCGGTATTAACGATACCTACTTGGCATGGAAAAATCTCTTCTCCATGTACCTTCAAAAATTTCACCTGTGTTTTCATCTTCTACATCTACAGTGCCGCTACCCAAATATGTAATACCACTTGTCATTCTTAACCAGTGGTGCAAAGCGCACGCAGTACGAATAATTTTATTGGTTACTTCTAGCCGGGTTGAAATAGGCTTATGGAATATTCGAAATCGACTAGCTAGTATACCAAAAGCATTTTCTACTATTCGGCGTGCTCTAGATAGTCTATAATTAAATATCTTTTCGTCATAAGCCAGAGATCTGTGTGAGTACGGTTTCAATAGGTAGGTTTTTAGTGGGAAAGCGTCATCTCCAACTAAAAATCCACCATCAGGTAATATATTATTATTTTCAAGTTTTTGATAAATTGAACAATTTCTCTCCGAGTTCCTTCCGTTTGCCCCTACGTTTATGTATCGGAAACAATAATCATGATCGACAATTGCCATCAAAACTATACTGTTACTTCCCTTGTAGTTCCAAAACTCACTTCCACATTGGTTAGGAGCTTGAATTGAAACATGTTTGCCATCGATGGCACCGTAACATCCGGGAAAATTCCATCTTGTACGGAAGCCATTCTCTAAAACTCCCCATTCTTCATCAGTTTCTGGAACCTAAAACAAAATATACTTTTGGAGTCAGCATAATTTAATCAATTACGAACATTAATATACATTTTTTATTGTCTTATTATATTCGATTTTATCTTGTTGTTATTGATTAATGAGTATAGTTTGTATTCTGTGTGAGGGACAGCATTTATTTATAGAAAATATTTTTCAACGATATATAAAATTAGTGATAAGTGATGACATGAATTATTAAAATAGTTTTACACATTTCTAGGTATATATTAATAGTTGAAGGTTGTTGTATATAAATCAAAAATTGATTATTTATAAAAAAATGTGTTCTTACAATTTTTATTTTATTAGATCGAATATAACACGGAGGTACAAAATGTGAACACTGAAACAACTGAAGAAGCACTAACCAATAAATTACCGGAAAGCCAAAGTTTTACTACACAGTTACCTAGTCAAACTAAAAAAAAAAGAACTGCCTCTGTACTAAGTGCTGTGGCTGACTTGAAGTCAATACATGATGCGATCAATAAATCTGAGCCCGAGGAAGATTCATTCGATATATTTGGGAAGAGTGTTGAAATGCAACTGAAGAAATTTCTTTCTCTAGAAACATCTTTAAGAGCGCAAAGTAAAATTCAAAACATTTTGACTGAAATGGGAATTGAAGAACTGAATAGACAAAAACGTTCATCAACACCATTATCAACAATATCATACATGAATCCCTCATCAGTTTCGTCGGGATTTGAGACATATTCCAAAATTTCTGAAGGATCAAGAAGTGCATTTCCTACTGTTGAAAATGATAGTCAAAATCAAAATCAAAATGATTTGTTAAACAAAGCTATTTTTCAAACTTTCAGCTCCCCATTAGAATATGGCCAGTGATAAAAATTTATTTTTTATAATTATAATTTAAAATGCCTACGAAACTAAAAAGTAAAATTGGATTTGTTTTATTTATTTTTAAGTTTTTATAAAAGGATTTATATATTTAATTGTTTACTTACTTATTAAGTTTTTATAAAAGGATTTATATAATTTAATTTTGAGCTAAATTAATATCACAAGTTGCATTATTCTGACATTTGAATATAAATTATTATTTCCTTATCTTAATATAATCCTTTAAGAAGTCGTAAATAGCATCTAAAACTTCAGGAAGAAATGTGGATATCGATGGTTTAGGCACTCGAAAAATATGTTGGAGAGTTCTGAAACTATTTTCTGTCGCCAAAAAAGACAAAGTTACTTGTAACTTATCTTTTGCTGATATGGCTTCTCTCATTGCTGTGTCTGATCGTTGAATTTTATCCGAGATATTTTGTAAAATCAGTTGAAATTGTTCAACATTCATCCTCATAAATGATCTATATTCGTTTACATCTTCACTTGCTAGCTCTCTAAGAAGTCCAACAGAAGCACCGTGTGTGCCTCGATGTAAGATCCATTTTCTGGTCCAAATCCGCTTCCTCTTTTCTGTACTTTTCTGCAACTCATCTTCCAATAATTCTATCATCATTGGTGAGATTTGATTTACGTAATCCTTGAAAAATCGTTTTATTTTACGATGACGATTCATAGTCTAAATAAATATTTTTGATGAAAAAAATACAATTAATACAATTTTACAGGTTAAGATGCCACAACTATAATATTATGTATATTCACAACTACAGAGTACTGAACTACTCGTTACACGACACTCGACTAGCGGCTTAGACACGCCGAGTACCATACATCTTGGTAGTGGGGGTAGTCATTCGGCCCAGTGAATAGAAACTGTTTCTATTCACTCGCTCGCTTATTTTACTCGTCCGATTACTAGGCCGAGTACTGGTTCCTTGAGTTCACACGGGACAGTGCTCGGCCGAGTTGACTCTCTCGGCCGAGTACTCGTCACGTGTAAACAAGGCATAATTCTGCAGTTACTAAGATGAAAAAACGAGCACGTGAGACAATGGAGCCTACATCAAATATCATAAATGAATGTACGAGTGGATTATCACAAGCAGGAAAATTAAATATCAAAATTCTAATAACTTCAATTGAGAATTCATTTTAAATTACGTAGGGAGCATTGATGGCCGATGGAGCTTTAAAAAAACAGATAAGACGCGTACGGCGTGAAATTCAAGCTGCACCCGATGCTCCAAAAGATTTAATTTCATTAATAGTACCAGTGAATTACCAGTCGTATTCGCCATCTGAAGGTGTAACTGAACAATTTTTACTACACGATAGTGAACCTGGAGTCGACAGAATTTTAATTTTTTGTCGCCCTCAAAATTTAAATATTTTATCAGAGTCTTCCAATTGGTATGTCGATGGCACTTTTAAAGTAGCACTTCATTTATTTTCACAAGTATACGTAATATTAAGTAAATACCTCGATGGTGTTCATCCCCTTATTTATGCTCTTTTACCCGATAAAAAAAATCAAACGTATGAGCGGTTATTTAAAATATTAATTGAATTAAAACCCGGGTTAAAACCAAAATCAATTGCTTGCGATTTTGAGCAAGCTGCGATCAAAGCAATTAAAAACAATTTCCCTGAAGTTCAAATTCACGGATGTTTATTTAATTTGACAAAAAATTTTAGACTTAAAATGGGTGACCTGGAATTATTTTCGAAGTATAAAAATGATGCAGAATTTTCAATTTATGTTAAAATGATTTTGGCTTTAGCTTTTGTTAAAATTGATGACATTTACAATAGTGTTAACTTATTATATGATGAACTGCCTGAAGAAATATTTCCTCTCTTAGAATGGTTTGAAGAAAACTACAACGGTACAGTTGTAAGAAATCGTCGTCGAATCCCACTTTTCCCCACTATAATTTGGAACGTTCATGATCGCATACTTAGTAAATAAGATCGAGCAAATAATCACGCTGAAGCGGCAAATCGTCGGCTTAATCTACAAATGGCCGTTGACCACCCGACACTATGGGCATTTATATCATGTTTAAGGAGAATACAAAGTGGCCGAGACACCTTCTTTTGCCAATTAGAAACAGGCAAAAGTCCACCAAAAAAGAAAAAAAAATACATTGACGTCGATAAACGTATTTTAAAATTAGTCAGCGATTATGATAACCGTAATATGAGTTTTTTAAGAGGAATAGCACATAGTTTAAGTATGATGACCTGAATATTTTTATTTGTAATTTTAAAAGCATTCTCCTTATTTTAATTAAATTTGTATTATTTATTTATTTTTTATTATTTATTATTATTTATTTATTATATTTATATTTTATAGTGACCTACCTAATTTCTTAAAATGGCCCTACGCCGAAACGGCCCTACGCCGAATGGCCACGCCGAAGTGTCCTAGACCGTAACAGTATTAATAACAGTAACTGTTATTTTCACTGTTATTTTTCAAATAACAATAACAGTTTATAACTGTTACAGAAAAAGATAACAACTTGCCATCACTAAAACAGAATACTAATAATAATAATGATATCACGATATCAATTTATCGATAAGGTACGCGACGCAGTATGTCAGTATTTTACATATATGAGAGAGAGATAAGTAGGGTCTCACTTTCAGTACTGCTTGTTAGGTTATGTTCAAAAAAAAAAAAATAATACGTGGTAGTACTTGCTCAAGTCCAATAGTTAGCCTACATGGCTAACATAGCCTTCCTAATTTACTAAATCACTAAATCTAAAAAATTAATATTAGATAAGTACCTGGATAATTACCACTAAAATTTTTTTTTTATAAGCTATAATTTAACATTTACATTTTTTTTTTTTTATAATAAAATCAAATATTTGATTTATGTTGCTTTATATTTGAGATGAACTCGATACTATTTTTAGTCTTCTGATGATTGTATGTATGCATAAATTTGCATACTCTAGGTATGATAGGTATAACTAGTAAGTATTAGTACTATTAAATGGCCTGCAGGTACCAAGCAATAGTAATATATTGATTGTAGAACAAACTTGAAACAATTCCAACCTTACCAAAAATACTTCAATGTTGACAACCGCTTAGCTTAGATTATCCTTCAATAATAATAAGAATATAATACAATTGGGTTGAGTATAAATTAGTTTAAAACAAATAATACTCACATTGTAACAAAAATGTTATTTTGCTATAAAATTGAAATCTTAATAATATTTTAATTTGCAATATTTTCTTGTTAAGTAATTTGAAGTTTTGAGAAATTGAAAATGTTATTTGATGTTTTATTCTTTGATTTACTGTAGGCATCAAACTACCAACCAAATGTTTGTAAAGAATTATATCATAATAAAATATAGTAAAATAAAATAATTATAACTTACCAACTAATGATAGGTAGTTGGGTACATAATTGTTCAAACATATTTCCAATAATACCTTCAAAGAAATTGTGTTCAATCTGATAAGCCCATGAAAATATTACTCATACATTAAATACAATACAATTTTAATGTACCTAATACTTAATAGGTACTGCAAAATTTGTTCGACACATAAAATAATATTAAAACTTTATTAAATAATATAATAGGTATTTTTATGCGCAGAGAATAATTAAAATTAAAATCATATGTTAATCCTTGTTTAATTGTTATCAAACGGTAATTTGTTGATCAATAAGTTATTTATCAAATCTTATCAGAAAACGATACAAGATTATAACACATAATAAACAGAAGGGAATCGAAATCAATTTTAAATGGGTTCTTATGGGCGATGATAAAAACACGTCCGACATATTCGAAATTCTCCAGGGTAGCCGTATGTCGGGATATTCATATTTGTTTATAATTTATGGCAGCACTGCTTATTTAATAAAATTGCAGCTTGTAATAGTTGTAATTTTCATTCATCATAAATTCATAAGCATTGGTTTTTTCAGTTGCATTTTTTACTATTACCAGTGTTGGGTAAGTTACTTTTTAAAAGTAGCTAAGTTACGTTACAAGTTACAAAATAAAATAGGTAACTAGATTACTCTTTTTTAAATCAATCTTTTTTTATATTTATTTTATACAATAATGTATTTTCAAAATTTTGATCAGTTATTCTAGCTCGTTTTTTTTGTACAAATATCTCCAGCTACACTAAAGAGCCTTTCAACAGAAGCTGAAGAAAGGAGTGATGTATTAAACTTTACAAACATTTGTTTCATCATAGGTAAACTATTTAAAATTTTTAAATCTTCTGTATAAACTGTATTATAATAGCGCTCCACTTCACCATTGGATTGATCAGAAACTAGGTTAAAATCAGTTAAATTGAAAATAATATTAACACAAAATCGTATATTTATCTAGGTCAAATCTTTGACAGGTATAGCTATTAAAATAGTTTTTGCCTTATGGTTAATTTAAACACTCAATAAATAATAATGAATAAAAAAAAACAAAAAAACAATGACGTATTATACTATTAAGCCACATTATACATTAATAAAAATAATTACATTATAATACTTTATATGTTTACATATGTTTTAAAAATGAAAGTTTCCTATTTTTTTTTATTCTTTCAGACATTAAACATCTATTCAAAAATTTAATTGAAGAAAATATTCTGAATCGAATAAATAGATTTAGTAAATAACCACTGTTAAATTGTGTTACATTAGAATTAGTTTTACTGGATTTGAGAATTTCATTAAACGAAGCTGACATTTTATTCACCTAATTTAATTGACACAATACGTTATCTAGATCCTCAACGCAATTCGCATCTGGAAAATGCCTAAAATATTCAAGACAAAAAATCTTTTTGAATGCCCAAATGAACTGTATAGGAGTTGGATTAGTGTTGTTACCGTGCTGTTGACGGAATGTTCCAAACAAGTTTTCAAGGCAGTCTTGATTTATACGGCCTGTACGAAGAGTATATTCTTTATTTTGGCTAACGTTTAATGATGTCCACAGCATTTTTAAACCAGATTTAGATACCAACCAACCATTTAAAAAGTTCACTCGTTTTGTCATATCAGTTGCACTTAATTTACTAACAATCTTCATGTTTTTAAAAATTTCAGTCATTTTGTTTAAATGATCTAATTGATGTGAATTATTTTTGAAGAGGTCATTAAAAATTTTACTATTAAGTGTGTCAGAAGAATTAAAAATGTCAAAAAGTTTATCCATATCGTTGATGAAATTGATGGTAGGTATTGAATTGTTTGGTAAAATACCGATATTCAATGCTGTAGACATACCTGCAGCAACAGTATGACTAAATACTTGAGCTGCCAAACGAACCTTCATTTTTTCGAAAGGTCCTGGATGGACATGTGCATAATATGTTAATTTTGGAGCAGTTCGCAAATTGCATTTGGAATCAAAATTGTAAAAATCATCTAGATGCTTTTTATCTATCAAATCATTGTTGATTTCAAAATTATGCTTAAAAAACATATTGCGGGCCGATTTCAACAAGTGGGGGGGATCAAAAATATAGATTATTTTTTCACCTTTGACTTCAAAATATGGCTCATCTGGAGAAACACTATTCATTTTTGAAAATTGAATAAAATTTGAACCTTGATCTGTGAGCAAAGCTTTGACATTAATATTTACACTTTTGAGTCTATGAATAGTT